TGTTAAATTAAAGTGCCTTATTTCAGGGTTGATAAAACGTCTCAAGAAAAATAATTTTGTTATGAGCAAATGACGTATTCATAGTGCCAGTGGTAATATTGTATTCATATGGGCCGATCAATAGGGAGCCTAAGTCACGCCCATCAACTTCCAGACCACGGGTCCCCAGAAGAACGAAAAAATCAAGCAAGCAAATCAATGGGGCTAAAAATGTTATTTTCTAATTCTGCTTGTTATGTTCCATGGATTTCACATATGATGTCTGGGAATTTTAAAGACACGTTTTGATAACAAGAACATGCTTATTTTCGAAGAGGGGGAAACACTATTTTAGATTTTGTATGAAAATAAGTCCAGGACTACAAATGTGCTTCACGAAAGTGACATCATCGCACCAGACACGGAGAAAAATAGAGGAAAAAGGGCTGTAAGTTCAGCAAACTTCAAATCCTTCCTTCAGGAGGAAAGAACCACCATAAATGTGGCCATGTGGTAAGTAGCACCTACGCTAGAGAAGAGGAGATTCTGAGGTGACGTCACATATACACCGTTCCGATTTCTAATTTGTAGTCATGCTAATTATGAACTTTTACAAGCTGAAAAATCTCAAAGTACATGACTGGCATGGTCAAAACAGACACCATTAGTTTTCATTTAAATTGCAGTACAACATCTGTGTGATCCAGGGTCTAAGGCAAAGCAGATTAGAAAATAGCTATTTTAGCCCTAATGACTTGCATTAATTTTTCGTTCTTCCGGGGACCCATGAGCCAACCGGAAAGGGAGGAGACTTGGGCTTCCTATGCTCTGAATGATTTCAAATTGCGTAGGGTCCTTTCCTTTTATTCTCTTTGTTTACATTCCATAGAGATAACAATTGTCCTCTCAGAACCCCGTTGGTCCATCCTGGTCCTGTCAGCAAAATATCTTCCTGATCAAAGGAACCCTACACACTGTCCTCCATACAATTGTGCTGCTCAAGGTATTACACTCAGTCTGCTGGTTCCTTGTTAGGTGTACAGTATAAACTTATGTTATAAAAACTGGATCTGATTCTGTTCTGATGGAAGTGAATAGCATCCACACAGTTGGCTTGAATCTGGACCTGTTCCCATAAGAATTGGGCTTTCTATGCCGTCCTATAAAGTTACTTTTATTTTGAATTAGCACAGTACAAACAACCTGATTTGAGTGTGTCTCAGAAGACTGACCCTGGCTTTCCACTGGCCGTGAAAGAGATGGCGCAATGTCATAGCAGCGTTCTACCCGTGGAGCAATTTGATGCGAAATGGGGGCAAAAGCGTTCCACACAACTGGTCACAAAATCACGAGAGAATTCCAACACCACATGTGCATACATACATAGGCATAGACACATGACAAGAATTGGTGGCTGTGGTCATTCGCAACCCGAGTCGCGCTACCTTAATAGTAGAGGTGGGAAAAATGATCGATCCTAAGATGCATCGCGATTCAGCCGTGCATGATTCCGCATCGATGCAGCAACGTGACATAATGAGATTTTCTCCCCATGTCTATGCCGGGGGTCGGCAACCCGCGGCTCTGGAGCCGCATGCAGCTCTTCCATCCATCGGATGCGGCTCTCTGTGCTTGTAAAATTATGAATGGATATTTAAATAAAATGCTTTATATTTTACTGCATTAATTTTACATCTGTATGCCAATTCTAAATGTAAAGATTGTCTGCGTAAACCTGAACAGGTCCAACCCAGTCTACTGTGTGACCGGGTTGACGCGTAATCATATAATCATATAAACGCGTAATCATATATGATTGGGCGACAGTGGCACAGGAGTTAAGAGCTCGCCTCGTAATCGGAAGGTTGCAGGTTCGAGCCCCGCTCAGTCTGTCGCTGTGTTCTTGGGCAAGACACTTAACCCACATTGCCTGCTGGTGGTGGTCGGAGGGACCGGTGGCGCCAGTGCTCGGCAGCCTCGTCTCTGTCAGTGCACCCCAGGGCAGCTGTGACTACATCGTAGCTCATCCCCACCAGCGTGTGAATGTGTGTGTGAATGGGTGAATGACTGATTGTGTTGTAAAGCGCCTTGGGGGGTTCCAGGACTCTAGAAGGCGCTATATCAAATACAGGCCATTTACCATTTATATGTGCTTTCTGAGCTGACAAGGATGTGAGATTCTCGGATTCTCCTCAGACGGCTCCTGGATGTGTCGCCACATTGGAGACAGGAACAAGCGCTATTCAGCCAAATTTTCATAATCAGGAACATTTTCTAAGTGACAAGTCTCGCTTCAGTCGGAGGAATCTTCCTGCATGCGCTCTGGTTCTGCAACGCGCTCCAAGCCCCTCTCCACATCTTCAGCTCGCTGTGTACCTTATGTAGTACACGCTGACAGTGAGCTGCGCTGAGCGGTGTCCAGCTCAGATGTTCAGATGGGAATCTTTTCTTGAGTGATTTAGCTACACCTGCGATGTGCGAAACGAATAAAGTGTCGGTTCGTCTGCATGCGTCGGGGTAATTCTTTCTATTCTTTCTCCGTCAAAATAAATAGTCAAATACGGGAACTATCCGGTCAACACAAGCCCTGCTTTTAACTGTTCTGTTTTCTTGTGAAAATTGTTGCAAAGAGATATAATTTTACTTGATTAACACCAGAGACAGGCGCACTGCGCCATTATCTCCGTTGCTGTAAATGAGGGAAAAACAAAATGATCGGATCCTTTTCTGACCTTCCCCACCTACAAAGTTTAATTACAACAATCTAACGTGACAGAGCCTGGATTTGTATTCTGAACAGTCTAAATATGTTTTAAAAAGAAACGTATGACAAAAGTGGCACCTGCTCAGTAAAACCACCAACAGGGTGAAACATATCAAAATATTGTAGGCAGAGACGGGCTACAACTTCTGGATCCACTTTATATAAATCGTTTTATTGATTATCGTCTTATGAAAGATAACTTTGATGTACACGAGCGACCAGTACTGGCTGCTGTCACCTGTTGTGAGCAGCGCTCTGCTGTCTGAGGGTAGGCCCCGCCCACAACGCCGCGGCTGCTGTGGCTCCCAGTGTTTTCTTTACTGTGGGAAACGGGTAATAATGGCTCTTTGATGGGAACAGGTTGCCGACCCCTGGTCTATGTCTATGCAGGACAATAAAGTTTTTACAATTACTTCTGGGGGCAGAGTTGCAATGACATGCGCACTGCGTTGCCCTAGCGCCAATTTAAAACAGAAAAGGCGGACAGGAATACAGGGCCAACATTACCAGTAATCAAAGATGTACCCGTTACATTTAAATCGGATGTCTGGGCTAATTTCGGTTTTGGGATCCTGGATGTGAAAGAATCACTTAACACAGTATTTGTTTACTATTTTTAAGTTCAGTAATATTCTATCTAAAAAGCTGCTCTACCGAAAACATTATTTCTTATATTATTTAAGTAATTACAGGCAGCACACTTTAAACATTATTGCTCACTATAGTGAATAGATGAATGTTCTATTTTTCAGGGATTTCGAAAAATAAATTGAAAACTATTCTACTGCTTTTATTAAGTAATGAAAATTTTTGTGTGAAGAATCGTGATGCATTTCAGACTCAAATCGAATCGTTAGGCAGATAACCGGAATCGGATCGAATCGTGAGGCAGGTAGAGATGCACACCACTACTTAATAGAGATCAGAGGGTTTATATATGAGGGTTGAGTCAGGTGGAGGAAAAAAAGGCACTTCAGAGTTACCCCTCCACAGGGAGGGCAGCTTTCCTATGCAAAAACGCCTCAGACAGAAATGCAACAGACTTCAGACATTACATAACATAAGTGTCCACTAGGTGGGGAGGTAGTGTTGGGGACTCTCCACACATCAGTGCATGCAGCCGCGATAAGCAGCGCTCGTCTCCTCCGTTTGGACAGGGGAGGTAGGTAGTTGGGTTTAGAAAGCACAGTGACTCCTGGAAACGATTCAACGGCCTTCACTGGTTGCAGTCCCGCCCATGCTGGGATAGGGAGACAGAGTTGCCATGGCGACGGCAGCATTCCACATTTCTTCTGAGGGGGAGTAATCACTTCAGCCTCACAGGCTCAAGGGCACCAGATTCAGATAAGAACTTGTTTTGGGGCCAGACAGAAATAATTTCCTCCCTGTCTTAAAGTCCTCAATCCCTCTAAATCCAATAATGGCGTAATTAATCTGTCTCAATCCTTGCTGATACGTCAACTTTCCCCTTGATCGAATCCACCTTCTGTGCCAGAGTCTGAATCTCAGCCAAAGTTCCAAGCTTACGACTCATCTCGACAATTATATGAGTTTGTGTGTGCACAGTGCGGTGTAATCCATCCCTGAGCTCTGGGATTAAGCAAATATTCCTCGACAGCTCATTCATTTTCTGGTAAACCAGGTAACCACTCAGGCCAAAAAGCAAGAAACCTGACACTAACACCACAAATATCCAGACGTCTTCAGAATCCTCTACAGACATTTGAGAGAGGCAGATCAGGTTCCACTGTTTCCAGGAGTCCTTGATATGCTCAGCTGGCTCTGTCCCAGGGGGGCATCCGGGAGCCCCTTCTCCCATTCTCATTGTCGAAAAAATTTTGTCAATTGCGTTGAGAGAGCAACTGACCAGGTCCATTTTTAATAATTTCCAGTTGCCAGAAAAAATGCAGAAGAGCCGTACACCCAAAGACAGACAAAAAGGACGTCAACTCGAACGCCTCCATAAACGAACCGGTCTTGCAATACACAAAGAAATGCACAAAACTCATCTGCTTCAATACTTGGACTCTATTAAACATACAAAATCTGCTTTCTACACTGGATTGGTTTCCTCCAATGAAGGCAACTCCAGGACTCTGTTCTCACTAATGCACAATATTTTTCATCCCCTGGACTCTCCACACCCCCCCCCCCCCCCCCCACCTGTATTCTGCTGACTCATGTAACTCTTTAATTACCTTCTTTACTCAGAAAACTGCTTCCATACACCAGCAATTAATTCCAAGCTCTTCCCCTCCCCCTGAGGTTTTTTCACCCCACCAGTCATTTTGTTCCTTTCTTCTTCCCACCTCATCCAAAATATCTGATCTTATCTGTAAATCCAAGCCCACCACCTGCTCTCTCGACCCCCACCCTACAGTTTTGGTTAAAACATGTCTCACCTCCCTTCTCCCTCTCATAACCGCCATAATCCACTCCTCCCTCTCTACCGGTATTGTTCCCTCCCTTTTCAAAACTGCATCTATTACTCCAATATTAAAGAAACCCGGCACTGATCCCAATAATTTCAATAATATTCGTCCCATCTCAAATCTTCCCTTTCTTTCAAAAATCCTAGAAAAAATAATCTCTGTTCAACTCCATGCTCATCTCACCCTCAATAGCCTCTATCAGCTCTTCCAGTCTGGTTTTCGACCTGGCCACAGTACAGAAACTGCACTCATAAAAATCACTAACGACCTCCTCACTGCTGCCTATACTGGACTTCTTGTCATGAGCTGGGGTGAGTACTCGTCTCATTATTCACCACCTTTGAGCTTTGATTGCAGGAGAGGGAGCAACAGCTGTTTCTCATCAGCGGCCGGCTTTATGAGGAGGAAGACCAGAATAGAGCTCCGGACCCCACGTGACTCTCAGTTAGTAGACGCCATTTTGGCAGGAAAAAAAGGTAAACAAACACGGATGTAACCATGAACGTGAACGGGATCCGCTTGGATTTTACTTCGTCAGAGTTTAATTCACACTTTAAAACTGAAGAAATCGTTTTATATAGTCAGAAATTAAATAGACTAAACATCTCCGACCACCGTGCCCCTGGGATACTTTTAAACATGCCAGAAGCTGTTGGAGCGGACTTCTTACTGGACCTGGCCGGGGAACCCCTTGGGAATTACCCGGAGGAGCTGGCTCCGGCGGCTGTGGAGAGGGAAGTCAGGGCCTCTCGACGCTACTGCCCCCGCAACCCGACTCCGGATAAGCGGATGAAAATGGATGGACAAATAACATAGATTTACACGTAAGTAGTTTAAATAGAGTGCTGTGCTGTTTGAATGTATAAACTGAACAAGAGTAATCACTAGTTTGATTGTTTTCCGTGAATAAAATAAATATGTCAGGCAGGAGTGTCTCAGGATCTGTCTGAGATCTGTCTCGGTGAGACAGATAATAGCAATCCAAAGTGCTTTTATGTGTGATCTGACAATTGATCAACCATTGCTTAAAAATTAAATACAGCTTAGCCGGTTAATTGCTGTGATCATAAAACACGTAAACGGCAGCACGCAGAAATCATGAGGCAATGTTTTATGTGATGTTTACTTGTTGCTGTGAGTAATAAGACAGAAAAAGCCACGCCAAAATAAGTTTAGGAAGCCCACTAAGAATCGTAATAAAAGCATTTAAAATAAATACCATACACAGGTGAGGAAACGTTGGTTTAAGTACCTGATATGAAGTGGTCGCTGCATAAGTGAAAACCTTTACTCTCGGGATCCCACAGTTTCATTTTAGCCCGGTCACTAGCGCATTTTTTTTACAATCATCCAACGTTTGCGGCGCTCCGGATCTTCGGGAATCCTGTAGATGGCTCATTCCTTATGTCGTCCGCGCCTGTTCTGCATCCTGGGGCACAACAGGAATCTACCATATTTCCCGTTTGACTGAGTTTTCTGACAATAACAAATAGTCCAGCTGCCGGCTTCTGCCTGCCTAATGGCGCGGTTTCGATTTGAACTGTTGCATACTGGGAAACGTGACGTCAACTCCCGGAGCTCTATACGACGCCGGATGATTGCCGTTAACTGGTAGTCGCTTGCCCTCCCGAGTTTTTACTCTGTTTGCTCTTACAGTTTTGAATTTTAGACTCTTTGGATTATTCGCTCATGTGATGTTTGATACTCACCTCAGGTTCCTGGATTCTTGGATAACTCGCTCTGCTCCTGGAAGGAAATCTCTGGTTCGTTCTTGTTTGTCTCCTCCGCCTGCCGACCCGCTCTCCACCTCGCTCACGCTCCCTCTCCGGATCAATATCCTCGCTCACTGTCCGACGCAGTTTTCATCTTGGACCGCTTCCCCATTTTGGATATCACCCCGGCTCACTCCCCTCCAAACAACAACTCTTCTTCCGCATAGTAAGTCAGCCTACAAATAAGATCTCCCGGAACTACAAGACCCATACTCACCTCTGTTTTCCTGTAGACGCCGCTTCCTGATTTTGGATACCCACTGGACTTCAGTGCGCCCTTAGTTTCCCGTTAAATAAATATCATTTTACCTTTTACTATCAAACCTGTCTCCGGTCTCTGATTCTGCATGTCTTGGGTCAAGCAAATACCTCAGAACATGACACTTCTCTCCATTCTCATCCTCCTTGACTTGGGTTCAGCCTTCGATACCATCTCTCACACCATCCTCCTCCATAGATTGTCTTCCCTTGGCATTTCTCATACCCCGCTTGATTGGTTCCGTTCATATGTCTCTGGCCGTACTCAGTTTATTCAACTCAAATCCTTCACTTCCCGTCCCTTCCCTGTCACTACTGGCGTCCCCTAAGGCTCTGTTCTCGGTCCACTCCTTTTCATCACTTACCTTCTTCCCCTGGGAAATATTTTCCGTAAATTTGACATCCATTTTCATTGTTGCGCGGTTGACACCCAACTCTATGTATCCTCCAAACCCTCCTCTTCACTCCCTCCTTCCTCCCTCACCAATTGTTTATCTGAAATCAAAGACTGGTTCACATCAAACTTTCTCAAACTTAACAATGATAAAACAGAAATGTTACTTGTCGGCACTAAATCCTTACTATCCAAATACACTTCCTGTCGACAACTCCTTAGTTTCCCCCTCCCCTCAGGTCAAGAGTCTGGGTGTCATCCTTGACTCCTCACTATCCTTCCAGTCCCACATAAACAATATTACCCGGTCTGCCGACTTCCATCTACGTAACATTAACTGCCTACGCCCCTCCCTTACTACTCACTAGGTCGCCATTCTTGTCCACAGCCTCATCACTTTCCGTATTGACTACTGCAACTCTCTTCTCTTCGGTCTTCCTCACAAATCCCTCCATAAACTCCAACTTCTCCAGAACTCGGCAGCCCGCATCATTTCCAGAACTCCCTCCTTCCACCACATCACCCCGTTCTTCAGCAGCTCCACTGGCTCCCAGTCACTTCCAGAATCCAATTCAAAATTCTGCTATATAGCAAAGCCATCCATAACCTAGCTCCACCTTACCTCTCAGACCTCCTTCATCCTTCAACCTCCACCCGTTCCCTCAGGTCCTCCTCCTCCATCCACCTTTCTGTCCCACCTTTCCGTCTGGTCACTATGGGGAGCAGGGCCTTCAATCACTCTGCTCCCCAGCTCTGGAACTCACTCCCTCCTGACCTCCGTAACATTGATTCCCTCACTGTCTTTAAAACCAGACTCCAAACCCACCTGTTCCGTCTAGCATTCCAATAGTTACTCTCTTTTCTCCAATCTGTCTGTTTGTTTTATGCTGTTCTATCTTTTATTGTTGTGTATTTTATCTCTGTCTGTAAAGTGTCCTTGAGTGTTTAGAAAGCTGCTGTTGAAATAAAATGTATTATTATTATTAAAGAGCAAGTAACGTCTAAATTAACTTTTTTTTTGCTGATGAACTGTATAAATGAGTGTCTAATAGTGTTTTAAATGTGTGCATTATTTATTTTAGCATTTTGGTGCATTTTTTTTAAATTAAAAATTCTGCCTAAATACCACAGTATAGCACCACCTTCAGCTTAAAACATAGAATTTGACTCATTTTGAATAACTTTTAGCCAATGGCTAAAGAGTAAGATACTACGTAAACCAGTAGAGTACTACGTAGCAGCTCTGTGTCAAAGTTATAAAAGCAATGAGCGTCTCGGCCACGCCTTGTGGCGAGTTGGGAATTGGATTTGCAAGCGAGCGTAGGAGGTTAGCCGTAGTTCAGCCTTAGCATATAGCGTTAGCATATCCTAGTCTTTAGCATAGCTTTTAGTGTTATAAATACTTATTTAGTGTTAGTTTGGCTGTTGGATATTGTAGTTTAGTTAGTGTTTGGCTGTTAGTGTAATTGGGAAAGTAGTTCGGGTTTAGTGCTCCATATCGTGTTAGTATGGGTGAGTAGGTGTAGTGTAGTATGGTTGCGGTGGCTCTGTGGGCATTTTACCCGCGATTCTGCATGTCTCCGTTTGAAGAGGGAGGCTGTGCCCACCGTGGCTCTTCCGCGATTTAGATGCAGCCCACTGACTCTGCTCCCCCACCACGGCGGGATCCAGTCTGAGGTGAGTACGCTAAATAAACGTTTTAACATCTTCTAAAGACAATTTCCTACCTAAATGCAAAGTCTGAGAGACGTGGTTCACTTCCTTTAGCTAGTCAGTCGGCAATTCTGCATCAGTGGCTCTAACTGACGCCGCACTAGTTGACAGACAGCATTACAGCGTGAAATCCAGCTTGTGAGCATATGCGAGGAATTCTGTTCAGGAGGTCGCATTTCAGGCTCTCCACATCATGTGTGACTGACTTTTACGTTATAACAACGATCACACACTAAGAATGTTATAAAGTGCCTTTATAGGACAGTTTCTTTTGTATATTATCTGACTTTATAAACTCCCAACAACAATGTGCTTTTTTTTTTCAGGCTAAATCTACCCAAGACACTGGCTGTCAGACTGATTTAGCTGCAAGAATGCACTTGTCCAGGCTGACGTGAAGCCATACCCGTAGCAAAGGTGAATTATTTTTAATAATCTTCTATGTAAACATTTTAATATTACCTTCTAGTTTTAATTTGTTTTACAGATTATTGTTACACGTGATTTTATGCTCTTTGAAACATTTATAAATGTGCTGCTTATTTGTTTTTACATAGCCAGCCAGAATGGAGTTCACAGCTGCAGTGTGTCTGGTGACACAGGGACCATGATGGAAATTCATCTTCCAGAAAGTCCCAGAGCAGCGTCCACACCCCTGAAAAGACCAAGGTGTGAGGTGTCTGCTGTTGATTCCAGCTTCCACCTCAGTGACAGTGCAAGCTCAGTGAACTGTTCAAGGTAAAAAAAAAAAAAATTTAAACATTTCAGAATTTTTAAGATATTAACAATTAAATAAGTATGTGATTACATCATGACGGAGGCTACTGATTCTGCCCCTGTGACACTTGGTGGTGACGTGTGAGCTGATTCACCTGGTAAACAACTTTTACATTAAATATTTTGTTTTTGCTATCAAAAGTAAATTAACTAATAACCTGCATTATTGCAGGACACTCAGCAAAATATGGACTCTGCACCATGAGGCAGGCACACGTTAATATTCTATAAGAGCACATAAGGTGAGCAACATCACATATTATTGTTATTACTGTACACTGTCCTGGATTTGTTTTCTTTCTGCATCTCATCATTAGCCTGGCTGATCACCTGATAACTCCTGTCATCTGGTTATGACAGCATGAGGATGTCCTCACACACCTGTAACCTATCAGCTCATCTGGCAGAATAGAGAGAGAAGAGTCAACACCACATCTCCTGTTCCTGGAAAGCCTTCAGCCATCCTTCGATGACTGAGAACCTCCATCAGCTCAGTCTCCTGTCTGCCTACAATTATTATAATAAATATTGTGTTTGACAAGTTTTTTGTGCTGCCAAATATCTCATATAGATTCCAGTTTTGATATTTTAATGGATCTTTATAAATTACATTGATTATCACATTTTTGTTGCATGTTTAACTAGCTCTATTGTGATGAATTAAACTAGCACCTCACTGTTAAAAGCTCGTTTTAATTTCAAGCATGTTTACGTATTTATGGACATGAACAACAACAGGAAATATATAAATTGAGATTTATTTAATTAATATAACAAATAAGGGGGAAAGAGTCATTGAAAGGCACATTCTTCTGGAAGCTCCTGATCCTGACGACACCAGCAGGAGACCAGCTGCAGACACCAGAGGACCTAGAACCAAGAGAGCAGCTGTTATTAGTAAATAAATAAATCAGGGCAGTTTTAGTGGGCTGAACACATTACAGAATAATTTTCTCATGGGGTATTTTCATAACTTTCTATGCAGCAGACTGTAACTTGAGCCCAGGGCTACCAGAGAGCTGCTATCCAGCATGTTTCAGTGGTTTTCCTGCTTTAACAGGTTAGATTAGCTGTTAAGCAGCTCAGCTATTTGTTGCTGATTAAAACCAGGTGTGTTGAAGCAGATAAACCTCTAAAACATGCTGAATACTAGCTTTTTAGGGCCGTGGAGCCAAACCCTGCAGCTAATCCAATGCTATGGCTAACGGCTACTTACCATTCAGAGCTGGTTCTGTTGGGTCGGTTCCGGTAGTTTCAGGCAACTCACAAGCTCAAAACAATAAGGCTCAGGTCCGCTTGTCTCCTCCAAATAGACTTGGTCCCTTTCTTCTCGAGTGTCTGGGTAGGAGGGGGAGAAAAGTCCTCCACTTCTAATAACTGCTCAGAGTGAAGGGAGCTAGCATCGTCTAGTTAGCCATCGTCTTCGTCACTGCCGCGGCTCCGCCCTCTCAGTCCTCCAGGCAACGCCTACTAATGTTGCATTTTTTAAAATTGATACGTGGGTGGAAAAGGACTCCGAGGCTCACTTGACCCGCTCTTTAAAGAGCCTTGGGATAAGATAGGGAGGAGAGGAGGAAAAAAGCATCTGTACTCTCCATAGAGCCAGAAGATATATGGACTTGGACATTTCAACGCGTTTTAAGGTTGTGGATGCCACTAAATGCTAGGGATGAGCTCGATACTCGTTTTAGACGAGTATCCGGTACGGATAAAGCATTTTTCACAAATACGAGCATGAAACGAGTAAAACTCGTAAATATCTGTAATCGAGCGGAAGGAAAATCCTCATTGATTAACTGACTGTCTTCACGCTCTGTGATTGGCCTGTTATATAGAGCGCCCGCCCCTCCCTACACACAAAACTCTGCAGCCAGGAGCTCAGTCCATCCGGCCCATCCACACACACACACAGACAGTAACGGATCTCTCAGTGCTTGCTTCACTGTTGCTCACGTTTCTTCAGTACTCCCTAGGTTTTCTTCAGCTCGACTCTTTTTTTGGTTTAATATTTAAAGTTACTCTTTTCATAACGCACGTGGTGCATTTGATGAGACAGAGCTGAAAACGGCTCATGCTGCGTCGGTCACTGCCTCCTCTCCTTTCTGGTCGGGTTATTTTTTTTCCTGTCTCTCTCTCTCTCTCTCTCTCTCTCTCTCACTCTCTCTCTCTCTCTCTCTCTCTCTGTAATAATTCATGCACTTAAATATTAATGTTCTGATTTTATTGAAACACTTGTTCTGTAATAGTTCCTTTACTATTGTGATCAAAGATATTTAATCTCAATTCTGAGGCTGCTCTGTAAATAGTTTTCAAATAAACAATACACATAGTATGGAACTAGGATTGGGACAATATTCAGCGTAACTTGTACCAAGTTTTGTAACTTCGAACATGTTTCATCACATGTAACTTTGGATTCGTAACTTGTAACTTTGGATTCGTAACTTGTTATTCTCAATTCGTACTTGTATTCTTGTTTTGTAAAAGGAACATTGTATTTTGTACATGTATTTTTTATTTTGTAAAATAGAACATTCATTCAGAAACATGAAACTTTTGTTTTGTAACTAGCAGACTTCCAAATTGAAAAAAAGTAAAGAGACATTATACAGATGAAGTAAGCACAAGATAACTTACTGGAAGACACGGAATTATCATGAGAACCGGAACGAGAGAGCCTGATAACAGTCATGTGAAAATAACAGTTAAAAAGAATGTATGTGTAATAGAAATAAAAATATATTAGAATTAGTGTAACTCACTGTGATCCAAACAATAAATCAGCCATAGCTGATTAGTAAATATGACATGAGGTCTGGGAGTTTTTAAGTTTCATTCTTTTATTACATTTTTTTCTTAGATCTGTTAAAAGGTCACCATGGCAGCCTGTGTGTCTCCAACATCAGCTACACAACACAGCGAGTGTAAGTACCAAGTACCTGTCTTGACCACTTCATGTATGGTTTTGTACTTTAAACAATTATGACAAACCTGTTATTTTTTTCTCCATAGCCATTTGGATCATCGGAGACAGCTTCGTGAGGCGTGGTGCCCAGAGAGCTGCAGAGACCCTCGGAGACAACCTTGGCCTCCCTGACGTCTGTGTCTCCTGGTTCGGTTGGGGCGGACTGAGGTGGAAAGACCTTCTCCCCTTCTTTTTTCACTCCCTTCATGGAAGAGCAGATCCTGATGTCCTCATCATTCACTGCGGCGGCAATGACATGGGGGTGGTCAGCAGTGTGAAGCTGGTCAACATGATGGAGGAGGACCTGCACCGGCTTCACCTTCTCCACCCTCATATGACCATCATCATGTCATCCATCCCCCAAAGGTGTAGATGGAGGGCAGGTGTAAAACCTGCCAAAATTGAGAAGGCCCGGAGGTTCGTCAACAGTGTAATGGCTACTTTTATTTCTAGTTTAAATGGTGCCGTTGTTGTGCATCCTCACATCAGACATGACAGTCCAGGGATATTTTTGTCAGACAGAGTTTATTTCACAAATAGGGGAAATTATATATTTTTAACTAATATTGCCGATTGTCTTAAGGGCCAGCTTCAAAAGCAGTGAAAGACTTCCAGGTGGGAGTCTCGCTGCTTTTGAATTTGGCCTTTAGGACAGATTTATTTTCAGGCAAACAGGATAAACATATCCCTGACTGTTATAGCGAATGTGTTGATGATGTAATTTATCTGTAGCCTGTCGGGCTGATCAGACTGGATGAAGGAGACGAACAAGGTGAGACGTTTAACAGTTTTATTATTTCTCCGGTCGTATCTCTGTGAGGAAGAAGCGATGACTGAGATGAGAAGCCGGTACCGGCGTCTTCCATATATAGCCTTGCTTGGCTGTGACGTGGAGGGAATCCCCGCGAGGAGCACGCTGGGAGCTCCCCATGAGGAGCATGTCGGGAGTTGTGGTCCGAAAGTCAGCCGGGAGATACCTGAGTCCTGACAGGACCCCCCGGTCCAGGGACGGCTCCAGAAGTCCCAGCACGACCCCGGCGGACCCAGAAGTCGGAGATCAGGGAAGGGTCCAGGATGGACCGAGCCGGCTCCCAGGAGCGTTCCTCGGGGCCATAGTCCTTCCAGTCCACTAGGTACTGCCAGCCCCGACCCCTGCGGCGAGCGTCCAGGATGCGCCGGACGGTGTAGATAGGCTCACCGTCGAGGAAGCGGGCAGGAGGCGGCGCCGGAGCCGGAGGCGGGAGAAGGGAGGACTCCACGAAGGGCTTGAGCCGGGAGGTATGGAAGGTGGGATGGATGCGGAGAGTAGCCGGCAGTCGCAACCGGTACGTGACCGGGTTGATGACCCTTTGGATGGGGTATGGGCCGAGGAACCGAGGAGCGAGTTTCTTGGCCCCGGCACGGACCCGAAGGTCAGCCGTGGACACCCAGACCTTGTCCCCAGGAGCATAGGAGGGACCAGGACGGTGTCGACGGAGATGCTGGCGAGCATAGCTGGTGTTAGCTCTGGTTATGGAGGCTCGTGCTTTGATCCAGGCGCTCTTGCAGCGTCTCACCATGGCTTCCGCTGCTGGAACGGCGACCTCGGGTTCTTGGTGGGCAAAGACCGGGGGCTGGAAGCCATAGCAGACCTCGAAAGGGGACAGCCGAGTGGCAGATGAGGTGTGAAGATTGTGGGACAGCTCCGCCCAGAGGAGGTATTTAGGCCACTGTGAGGGTTGAGCCGAGACAAAACAACGAAGGTACCGACCCAGCTGTTGGTTAGCCCGCTCCGTCTGGCCATTGGTCTGCGGGTGGTAGCCTGAGGATAGACTGACCGATGCTCCCATCAGCCGACAGAAAGCTTTCCAGAACCGGGCCGTGAACTGGGGCCCCCGATCCGAGACCACGTCGACTGGGAACCCGTGGAGGCGCACCACGTTCTCCAGGAACAGTTCCGCTGTGCGTTGGGCTGAGGGGAGACCCGGAAGGGCGATGAAATGGACAGACTTGGAAAAGCGGTCCGTAACCGTCATGACAGTGTTGAGGTTATTGACCGACGGGAGACCTGTGACGAAGTCCAGCCCCACGTGGGACCAGGGGCGGCTGGGCACCGGAAGAGGTCGGAGGGCACCAGCCGAGGCCTGGTTGGGGTTCTTGGAGCGGGCACAGACGTCACAGGCGCTGGTGTATTCTTTCACATCCCTCGCCATGCCTGGCCACCAGAGGGCTCGCTGGAGGAATTTAAGAGTTCTGGAGAAGCCAGCGTGGCCAGACAGGCGTGATGAGTGGGCCCAGGACAACGCCTCGCTGCGACAGGCCGTGGGGACATAGAGGCGACCCGCGGGGGTCTCAGGAGGCGCGGGGTCGTCCCGGAGGGCGTTCTGGATAGCTTCCTCCAACGGCCACCTCAGTTGGCCCAGGAAACGGTGTTCCGGGAGGATTGGCGCTGGCTCGGACGAGGGCGAGGAGTGGGTGAATTGGCGGGAGAGGGCGTCCGCCTTCTGGTTCTTGGCTCCCGGGCGGTAGGCGAGATGGAAGTC